GAAGACACGGGCACCGGGCTCGTCGCCATGCGCGCACGGACGCTCGCGACGGGAGGGTCACGTCGGACCCGCGCCTCGCCGCAAACGGGTCGAGGTTGGCGCTCTCGGCCGCCACGGTCGGCCACGGCGCGGCGGCCGGCGGCCCAGGAGGCGGCAAGGCTGGGGCCTGAAGTGACGGCCGACTCGCATCGATAGCGCCCGTTGCCGCGCTAACGGCCGTCGCGCCGACTTCGAGAGTGTCCTGGGGAGAAGGTCGCCCGCGCGCGGCAGAGGGCCTGCCACCCGGTCGCGCCGCGACCGTTCGTCGCGTCTGCAACTCGCGCCGGCCGCGGTCGCTGTGCCGTACGCCTGCGCGGGAGGCGTGCGCATGCCCGCGGCGCGCGCTGCCGGTCGTCGCTGGCGGCGCTCGCGACGCTTGCCGATGCCATCTGCCGCGGCTGTTAGAGGGCCCGTGGCTGCGTCCCGTGGCGACGACGCGACGACGGGATCGATTGCGTTCGCACTGTGACAGTCAGGGTGGGAGAGGAGACCGTGCGTCGCCGCGCGCACTGGCTTCCATTGGGCGGCCGCGTGTTCTCTCGCCGTGGTGACGAGAGCGTCGATCGCGGAGACGATGGAGAGTAGTGGGCGGTATGGCGAAGATAGGCTTTGCCTCCTTGCTCCTGTTGTACGGGGACGCTCAGTGGCACTGCGCGTCCGCGGCTGCTTGTGTCCGCGCGCGCCCGCCACGTGCGGGGACGTTACTGCTGCTGTGTGACGTTAAGGGACCCGTGGACATGGATCTTTATGCTAGTGGTTTATATTTCTCTGCTGATATGTGAGTGGAAAAGTAGGATGGCGTTTGTTTAAGAAAATGGCGACTCTCCCCATGTTGGATTCTGTTGGCCGGCGTCCTATCGGGGGTGGGATTTTGCATTGTCTTAACTCGACCATTTGTGCAGATTGTTGGTGCGATACTAACAGTGACTGTTTTCAGATATGGGTAAGATATTTTTTCGGGACAGGTCTGTGGCCCGAGTAAGGGTGGCGGGAGAAGCGGGCCCTTGGGGGTGTGGGGCTTGTGCGTGAGATATTTCAGCGTTTTATTCATGAAGAGATAATTCATTTGAATATCTCAGCATTTTTTTGTCCTGGTGCGTGATAGATATTGTAAGATCAGCGTGGATGGTGGCGGGAAGCGTGAGATTCTTGCGTCAAAATGCGCGAGGTCTCCACGTCAATGCGGTGAGATTGGCAGCGCCTGGAATTCACACTGAGGTTGCTTTTAGAATGCTATCATTGAGCCAGAGTGTGCTCGTGGAATTGTTCGCGCCAGGACGATTTTAGTATCTGTAGACGCAGGGTATTGTTTGCCCATGCATATGGGGCGGGCTTGAGGGCAAATCAGACTGGGGTAATCTCAGCACCTTGGTGGCGCCTGGATGCCGGATTGTTCGCGCCCTAAATTATATCTTAACCTGGGTTGGCCCATAGGCGGGCACAATGCTATCCACGATCTGTATGTAAAGAGCATGGGCTGATGGATCAATGTGACCGTGTAAATCCTGCAGAGCGCTAGATTGTGCTTGTTGCTATATACTTTAGTGGTATGGTCACTCACAGACAGAAGGTAGAATAATATATTACACATATTTATAATCACTCAGCGTGCCATTAAGTGAAGCTCCTATTTACCCCCGGTAAAATTCATGTGGATTCATTAGTATTGTAGGGTTGTGGGGTAAATTCTCCAAGGATCGCCACAGGGATCCTCAGAGATTATTCTTATCGCACAACACAAATTATACTCTTAAAACCTGCATGGTGCGCCAGCAGGGGTCGCCGCCGAGCGCGGCGCGGGAGAGGGCGACGGCGGGCGACAGCGGCTGCGTCGGCAGCAGGTGGCGCCGCGCGAGCCGCTCGAACAGCGCGATCTCGTGCAGCCGGTGGACGTTGAGAGCGTAGACGGCGTCGCCATGGCGACACAGCCACGCGCGGCCGCCGTACGCGCATCCAACAAGAGTCACCTCCGCCTCTGTTTCTGCCTCCGTCTTCACCCCTGCCTTCTCCTCCGTGGTGTCAGGGGGCGGCGCCGCCCCGCGCGCGTCCGCGAGCGAGAACGCGAGTGGGACGACGCGACGGGAAACCTTCCTGCCACCTCCGCCGCCGCCGCCGCCGCCTCGCGCCGCTTCCCGCAGCAGCTCGACGACTGACGAACGCGCGACGACGGGTTGCCGCGGCGACGACAACGACGCGCTGCTCAGCTTCCAGCGCTTCCCGGGGCGCTGCGACGGCGGCGGCTGCGTGGGATCCGCACGTCTCTTCGGCGCGGGGACGGACGACGGCGGTCGCAGCAGCGTCACCGGCGCCACCGCGCCGTCGCTCTGCAGGTAGCGCCCTCTGCTCCACTCCGCCGCCGCGTCGGCTTCTCCGGTCTTTCGCTCGTCGCTCGAGATCAAATTCTTCCCACCGACTTCGGGGACGCGATTCGCCGTCTGTTCGCCAGAAGTCGCCGGCGCAGCGGAAATGTTACTGAGAAGGTTAGTGTGTTCGCTGGTAACGTCCGTTGTCGTGACGGGACCCGCAGTGTCGGCTAGTGTGTTGATGGTGACGGCTAGCGGGGCGCGGCGCATGATGTCGACGGTGCTAGTGGGGTTTGGAAAGAGATGTGTCGCCGTATCGTCGTGTCTCGCCATGACATCGTGTCTCTTCGCCTCGTCGTGTCTCGCCATGACATCGTGTCTCTTCGTCTCGTCGTGTCTCGCCATGACATCGTGTCTCAGTTGCTCGTCCGTCTGTTCTTCCGCGGCATGACATCGTGTCCTCTTCGTCTTGCTTCGGCACGTCTCATCAGCTCCCCGCTGGCCCGCCCGTCGCTTACCGCCACGCCGTTGAAGCTATCCACATATCTGCGTCGAACACGAAGACAGAAATCGCGATCGTCGTGCTCGTGATGCGACTCGCCGTGCAACGGTGGCGCCACTACGGACGGCAAAGCTTGGGCGAGCATTCGCAACGGACGCCGGAACCAGAAATCGGGGGCTCGCGCGATTCACCTTCGCGACGGGTGGCCGCCGGACTCCATGAAGAGGGCGCCGGTCGTCTGCCGGGCGCCGGCGGACGTTACCGCAGAAGAAGGCGCTCTGCACAGTAATCCCTGACGGAAAGCGTGGCCGCGGGTGGCGGTCTCATGTCCCGTTTCTCTGACACCCGCTGCCCACGCTGGCGCCTCTCGGCAACCCGACTCTCGCCTGCTCCTCCTCGTTCAGCCTTTTTCGTCATCTCCCGGCCCGGCCTGTCCCCTCCTTCTCCTGCTCCCTCGTCATCCGCGGCCGTGGTGCTGTCCCCGGCCCGCGTTTCCCCATCGTTCTCGGTCCGCGCTCAGCGGCGGCCTCCTCCTCCTCCTCCTTATCTGCCCGCCCATCGATGTTCGCCTGGCATTGCCGCTCCACGCTGTCATATCCCCCATCGTTCTCATCAAGCGGCGAGCGTGTCCGCTCCCCGTCGACGAGGCGCCAGCGCGCGCCCGGTCCCCGTAAGAAACGCTCGCAGGAGCAGCAGGTAGGACGTCCAGCCACTCCCTCCTCGTCGCTCAGGACAGCACCCGCGACTTGTCGGCTGCACATCGTTCGCAGTCGGAGCCCGCCGGCCGGCCGCCTCGAAGCTGACGCATGCGCACGGGTGGCGCCGCCGCTGGCCATCGCTCCGCGGGACACGCTGGTGCTCGGCGGAGGGTACGACTGCGCGACGCCTTCAGCCGAACGCGCGCGGCCTTTGACGACCACGAGGCAGCGTCGGCGTCGGCGGAGAACGAGGTCCCGCGGCGCCGCGGGTCGGGGGCAGGAACGCCGTCGACACGGGCCGCCGCCGCCTCCTCGACGATGCGGCACAGCAGAGCGTCCGCCGCCCCCGCCCCCCCCCCCCGCCCCCAGAGGCGCGCCGAGTGTCTGCGCGCCGATCTGGGTCGGGCTCTTCTGCAGCGGGGGCGTCGCCCCGGTCGCGGCCGCACGCGTCAAGGCGGGACGCGCGGCGCGCCGCCCGCCGTACGCCGCCAGCAGGTTCTCAAACGGCGCGCCAGCTCCCTCTCGGCGCCCCCATGGCCTCGGCGAGCGCGCCGCCGCCGCACGGGATGCGCGTGCGAACAGCTGCGGCGACCACGCGTCGTCGCTCGCCAAGCGGGCAACTAGGCTTCGTATGCGGGCCGCGTGCTTCTACCGTCGCCCCCGACGACGTACACTCCACGCCTACGTCAATCCGCTGAGTCTTTCGTCCCTATGGCTGACGTCGCAACGGCCGCGAGCGCGGGGAGGGCCTCTCCGCGGCAAGCCGTACGCTCTGCAGACGTCCCGCGAGAGTCGGAGTCGGCGAGCTTCCGACGTGCGGTGGCGCGCGCGGCGCTCCTCGCGGTCGCCGCCGCGATCCGCTGACCGTATGTCGCGCACTCCGATGCGCTCCAGCAGGCCGCACGGCGTCGAGCCGCACGTCCATGCAGGTGGCGCGCCGCCGCGTCAAGCGCGTTCTCGACGAGCCTCCATTCACGACGCCTCACGCGGCGCACTGTGCATCACCTGCGGCGCTCTGCGATCAGGCCGCGCCGTACTCGCTGTCAGCGCCTTCATGGTCGTTGGTGACGCAGAACGCGTCTGTCCCGGATGAAAACTCTGACAACCTTATACGATTGCTGGTTAAGGAGAAGAAAAGCTCGCGCAATCTAAACAATTTTGAGGTTATGGCGAAGAAACCCGCAATCTAAACGATTTCCCAGTTCCGCTCGCCGCGGCGGAAACGTCCGATGCGGATCGTGAAAGAATCTCTTGCATAAGATCACGGAGCGTCGACGCACACGTGTAATCAGTGATCACACTAGCGGGAACAGCAGCTGCTCTCGCGAGGTTTTCGCCAGCGCTCTAAAGGCTGAAAACAAAGTGTTGCTATAGGCAACAATTGCTCAGCCTCCTGTCCACACACACGCACGCGCTGCGGTGTTGCTATGGGCAACAATTGCTCAGCCTCCTGTCCACACACACACACGCGCTGCGGTGTTGCTATAGGCAACAATTGCTCAGCCTCCTGTCCACACACACGCACGCGCTGCGGCGTTGCTATCGGCAACAATTGGTCAGCCTCCTGTCCACACACACGCATGCGCTGCAGCGTTGCTATCGGCAACAATTGCTCAGCCTCCTGTCCACACACACGCACGCGCTGCGGCTTTGCTATCGGCAACAATTGGTCAGCCTCCTGTCCACACACACGCATGCGCTGCAGCGTTGCTATCGGCAACAATTGGTCAGCCTCCTGTCCACACACACGCATGCGCTGCAGCGTTGCTATCGGCAACAATTGGTCAGCCTCCGGTCGATCGACGACACGTTACTTCCTGAGGTGATCACGATGCCCTGCGCGTGTTCCTCCAGCGCAACCTTCGCATAGTTCTCCTTCAGCACTCTCGCTAACGACACGAACGCGTCTTCGATGTTCGTCGCATCCTTTGCGCTCGTTTCCATGGTAGCGAGCATCCCGTGCTGCTCGGCGAGATAGTACGCCTCCTCCGGGTCGACTTCACGAAGGTTCGCGAGATCGGACTTGTTTCCTAGAAGCGAAGGAAGGCGACCGGTTATTGGGGAAACTTTTTCTGGGTAGAACCGAACGCACATTCACGGTTATTTTCATGGAGCAAATTTCATGAGTTTTTAATAAGTAACAATGTTAACTTATATTATAGAACACTAAAATAATGATTTAGTTGCAATTTCTTTAAAGAGGAATTGTAACCTATTGAAGTAAGCTACACTTACATAATATTGATTAGGAATGACTCTACCCACAAATAGGCTCGCACCAAATCATATATAGCATTACAGATAAAGAGTGGTTACCGGTATTACTTATTTCAGGTTATTTGTTTAATTAACATTGTTTTGTGAAATAAACGTACCTATCAACACTTTCTCAATGTTTGTACCCGCATATCTAGAAACATCAGCTAACCAACGCTCAATATTATTGAAGGTATCTCTTTTAGTGATGTCATAGGCAATTATAACTCCATTCGCACTTCTATAGTAGCTCTGTGTGATTGTTCTAAAACGCTCCTGTCCAGCGGTGTCCCACACTTGAAGCTGAAATGTAGAAGCAGTAATAAAGCAGCCTTCTTTCAATCTAAATCCATAATGCATTATTCCCATGCATGGAAGAAAACTATTAAACTTTAAAGTTAAAAGCAAGGGTGTATCCACAAGTCCTTGCGTCATATGATGCTAGGTGACCTACTGGTTAATGCGCTTCTGTTTTTTAACCTGATAAAAATACTTCTACTTCTAGTGGATATATTCCGAAATAGTTTCAAATTTGAAATTTTGATTTTTTTGTCACGTCCTAATCCCAGTATAAAAAATTATTTGACTCCTGTACCACATAAATATACACGCAATAGCAATTTAAATAAGTACCTTGACCCTCTTGCCATCGAGAACAAGTGTTTTCATAGTAAAATCCACACCAATTGTACTACCGTGCCGCTCGGTGAACACTCCCGTTTTGAATCGTTGAACGACGCACGTTTTCCCAACTCCCGCATCGCCGATCAGTACAATTTTAAATAAGTAATCAAAGTTTTCATCTGAATCATACGTGCTAGAATAAGCCATTTGAAAGTCGTGGCGTTCTAAACGCGATTACTATGCTACAACACCGAGTATATCACTGTATAAATAGCAAAACATTAGACACTAAAACTAAGTCGGATCTGCACTCTTCCATGATGGACGTATATACTGCCACCTAACGGATCATTTATCTATTATGTTACGCAAAGCGATAAACTTTCCTCGCTAAATAATCTCTTTGGAGAAACGTAATAAAAATTCCGTTCGTGCTAGAGTTCTATAGCTTTATATAGAGAAAATAGAATTATAGAATATTTAAAATTAGAATATTATAATTTTACACGCATGTACCACTGCTAGGGCACCCATCTTGCACAAACTAGGAATTTCAGTGGATTCGCAGTTTGGGCAACCAATCTGCAAATTGCGCAAAACCTGTCAGTGTTACATATTTTTATTAACTATTAAATATTACTATTAGCAAAAAAATTAATACTGACCACCACGGCACCAGCAGGTTCCCGTGCTGCACACACATGATAACTATATCCTGATTCCTAGACCCTAGTCACTATCTTGGTAGCATTGAAGTGTGCCATCGACAGACGAAATACATGATACATGTGACGTGTGCACTGTATCATGATTTTACATTGACAGTCATTGTTTCGGGCTCAATATAGTCACCTGACAGTCTGACTAATTAATTTTCCAGGGCACAATTTACTAGATTTGACAGATATTGTCAAGCAAGTGTTCTAGACTAATCTAAATATGGTACATGCAAGTAACTGTTAACCTAACCACAAGTTTGAAGACCAATCAAGGGCCTTCTAGCAACCTACCAATCAGAGGCCTTCTAGCAGCCAACCAATTCTGGACCTCGTAGGAGCCGACCAATCAGGGGCCTCGTAGCAGCCAACCAATCAGGGACATCGTAGCAGCCGACCAATTAGGGGCCTCCTAGCAGCCAACCAATCAGGGGCCTCATAGAAACCAACCAATCAAGGGCCTTCTAGCAACCTACCAATCTTGGACCTCGTAGTAGACGACTAATCAGGGGCCTCCTAGGAACCTACCAATCAGGGGCCTCGTAGCAGCCAACTAATCCTGGGCTTCGTAGCAGCCAACCAATCCTGGGCTTCGTAGCAGCCAACCAATGATGGCTCTCGTAGCAGCGAACCAATCAGGGGCCTCGTAGCAGCCGAACAATCAGGAGCCTTGTAGCTACCAACCAATCCTGGACCTCGTAACAGACGATCAATCAGGGAACTCGTAGCAGCCGACTAATCGTGAGCCTCCTAGCAATCAAACTGTCCATCAACTAATCAGGGAATCATTTAACAATCATCGATTTTGAATTAATCTGTTATCAATCATCGGTTGGTAATTAATCTTTTAACCATCATCCACAAATCAATTATTACAATTCTTATTATTTATTATTATAATTATTATATATTATGTTATACTTTGGTTATATATTATTACACTTATTATTATAACTCCATTGCCTAACACTTACCTTACCCTACCTTACTTGACTTCAGACAATTACACATAACATCATGATGTTAAAGCAGCATATTTTCCTGAAGGCTGAAATATTTCGCTCTATGCTGTATCTCTTTGCATTCCATGTTATTTAAACTCCAGTTCATGAATCACTCTAATAAAGAATTACTTGGAATATCATCAGGGCACTGCTCAAAGCAAAAATGAACAAGAGGTAACGTATATGGTTAATGGACAAAATAATTTATTCACATCAATTTTTCAGACAGCGTTTCTCGAATATTCAGTTGGGTTAAAAATCACCCGTTACAAATTTTAACCTCGTCGGAGCTTCTACTTTCGGAATTAGTATCAAAGGTCTATGAACAAGTAACTTTATTTTCTGCTACCTTGGGTATGGGGATTGTACGCTTTATCTGAGAATGGCCCACCTACCGGTAACGATTTTTCCTATTTATAACGGATTATATAACCGTTATTATATAACCGGAGTAGGGCTCAACCATAGTTTTGGTGGTGGCTACGCGGACTCACCTAATGCTCATCCTTGGGCCTATGTAAAATTCTTTGATTGTTTAGCTAAAATTCCTCAAAATAATAATTGCTATCATTTTTTGCTGTCCTTATTTCTTGTTATTTTCATTGCATTATGTCTAATCTCTAAAAGAATGTAAAAATTCTGATATCACTACGATCACAGCGCCCTGCCTTTTCTACGGAGCATAGGGGCCCCATTTGAAAACAAAAGCGCACATGTTTATGATTTAGCTTCAGTGGCTTGTCCTCTGATTTCCGAGAGGTTTATGCAATATTTAACTATTTAAAACATTTATGAGATAGCGACTACGTTACTAAACATGCACATGTTTGGTGAATACATTCTACTAGAGAAATGCCTACTAGTACTAGAGCCTAGCTGCCTAATAGTTGAATAAGCGACTGTTTTCGGCGTGCCAAATCTTGAGTTGAGATTGTCAGTCAAAGTTTGATTGTTAGTCAAGTTGAGATTGTCTCTTGAGTCTTAAGTCTTGTTGAGTCAGTCAAGTTGAGGCAGTCAAGTTGAGTCAGTCAAGTTGAGGCAGTCAAGTTGAGTCTTGTTGAGGTTGTCAGTCAAGTTAAGATTGTCAGTCAAATTTGGAAATCCGCACTTTGGGCAGCACGATCTCAGGATTGCTTGCGCAAATTCCAAGTTTGGGTACAACAGAGCCACGGATCAACGTGCGAGAACCCGGCAACTTTGTAACTAGTTATTTTGATTCTACTTCAATCAACATCAACGACAACATTTAGGGACGGGTTAGATTATGGAATCTGTAGACTGTAATCATAAAATTATAACCAAAGGCAAAGGATAATCATACACTCGATTGAAAGGATGGCAGAAACGGACTCATTCACCAAGGTAACTTACGGTTGTTGTACTAAACAGTAAACTTGTGAGGCGATGTCTAGGAATCAATTTTGCCTAGTCAATATAGCCAATGACTGGCAATGTAAGATCACACAGTGGCACACCATATAGCGAGTAATGAAGCATTACTAGTATAGAATATTATTAATAGTATCGGAGAAAACGAATCAGTCTTTACAAAAGCCGATTCAAACCTAGCTCTAGAACTATAGCCCTCCGATCCATCGCAGGTCGGAGCGGAGGGCTATAGTTCTAGAGCTAATTCAAACCCTGCATAAACTGTGGATGATATGGAGTGCCATCACCTCAGACACCTGTCTGTTGTGTTAGCTTCTCTACGGACCATAATAAAGTTATATTTCTGAAAAGATGGTCACATTACTCATTAGAATGCTACAATATCAGCACGTGCATCACAGAATAATAGTCAGATTTACATGTATCATAAAATTTGGGGGAAACAGGTGACAAATAAGAAGTAAAGGCAAATAACGAGAGTAAAGAGAAAGAAGAGGAAATTAGAGGTAGTGGAATACAAAACCTGCTAAAATGAATATATAGGCCGATTAAATTGTGTGCTAGAATTTATTGGATCTGATGTTCTCCTAAAATAGCATCAGATCATGAAAATTTCTAGGGCAGCCACCATTAATTGATTGATCTGAGACGAATATCAATATGAAATGCGTTTCCGATGCACAGACGAATATACACACACTGACAGTGGAAATTTAATTTACTATGTGCTAACTTTTTTTACAGGGGTTTGTAGCAGGTAGTTATAACATTTGCTGTATAACATGTGGTAACGATAGTATATTCGTAATTGCAGGCTTGCTTTGCATTCAAAGGAAGCAAACGGAAAGAAAAGACAAGTATTGGTGAGTATATATGTCTGGGAGACTGGGAGTCTTATGTAATAGCTTGAAAATTGCTTCTTTTCTACAACTTTTCTTTTTATAGTACCTGGCAAAATTTTACATGGTAGATGTGCTGTCATGGCAACAATCACTAAAATATGATAAAATCTATGAAAAACGATCCAGACACATATATGACATGTAATGATAGATCTATATTACAAGTAAGATTATAGCAAGGCATATCATTATACTTGGTTGTGGGCAAAATTGCGATGTTATTCCCTTCCACTGTTTCAGATACATATGGATTTACAGATAAAGGGGGAAAGGTCAGATACTCCACATACTCTCATCTGTGGCAGAACATGGATGAGCGTATTAAGGTAAGAAAAGGCAACTGTCAATCACAGACTATAGTTGTTCCACTTCTAAGAATCTTTTGTATGTTATTTATCACCAAATTTCTATTTCTGGGACCAATTGCATGAGTCCGAAATTGATTGAAATGCAATTCTTTTTTCCTCCCAAGAATATTGCTGTTTATGTGATACAATATCATTGCAGGCAACGCAGGCAAAGTTATATGCCACCGTGTTTGACGATCTGCTCGCCTACATCAAACTGTCGCACAAAGACTTCTGTCCTTCTACCGAGTCTAAAACACTGAGGACTAAGAGAAAAGAGATTCCCACAACAGCACTCGTCATGGGTAAGACATTTATTCGATCCCAGGCTCATCCAGTTCTTCATAAGAAGGGTATGGGCTGGCCTGGTGCAGCTTGTGGGTCCCAATGAACTGGTGCTTCTTCTATCCGTGTCAGTATTGATGTTTCACTTTCATATTTATATAAGGATGATGATAATGGTGATTATGATGAAGATGATGATTGCAGTGACAGGATTGTTGACGTTATCGTTGCTAATGTCGGCACGATCGAGAAAGTAAGTAGAGAAGTAAGAGTGAAGGAAGAGTAAACTTGAGGTGGTGGAATACAAAACCCGCTAAGACGAATATAGACCAATTAAATCGATAATATTCTGACATTGTATTGTATTATATTTGTATTAATTCGATAATAATGATATTATTATCGGTCTATATAGACCGATTAAATTGTGTCCTGGAATTTTTTTTTTTATCTGAATTTTATCGTCGGCAGGTGTGAACATGCCAGACCATGAGACGACGGTCACCACGCTGACCGCTCTCGTCAGGCGGAGCGTGACGCCGCACGTCGCCACGCTCGCGTCGAAGGATTGTCCCAGCATGAAAGCCATCATGACGAAAACCCTGCAGCAAGTCGTCGCGAACGCCGAAGCCGTGAGTTGAAACGATCGCTAGTCCGTCGTTGCCGATTCCTTTTCGTTCGTCGTCGAGGTTGAGATTGTGTCTTGCGTAATTACAAAGTATTTATTGTGTTATTTAATTGCACGTTTTTATTGTAAGTTATTTAACATGTTATCCAACATTATTTAAAATTTAGTTGGAAGACGACGACGACGTTGATGTTAGCCTGAGGAAGACAGGCTGCAGCATGTCTGTGCTGGCGTCCTGGTACACCGACATCACATCGAGAAAAGTAAGTCTTTCGTCAACCTATTCGTCACTACCTTGTAATGATTGACCTAATATTAGTGTATTGAAGTAAACACGTGGAGCGAGCTGCTTGGCGTGCGCTAAATCTGGTCAGCGTACTACTAGTAACGTTATTGTAAGTTTTCATTTACATTTCTGCCTGTAGAGGTCGCCACAGGGTTCGCCGCGTAAGAGAAAGGCAGACGGCCAGCTAAGAAGACTGTTCCCGCCAGTCGTTGTCATACTCGAGGACCTGGAGGGATTTTCGGCGCCGGTACTTCAAGATTTTGTCGCGTTATGCAGGTAATTACTCCTGCGAATACGTCGCCCTGCTCTATCGTACTGCTGTTGTACACCTAAGATCCATGTGCCGTAGAAGAGACTTTGATGTGGACCTGAGAGAGAGAGCGTGCGACTTCTACATATTCCTTTCTCTGTTTTAAACCTGCCTGCCTCTTATGAACCATTTATCCCTTACCCCAATTGTTATATAATACATGTTGTGAACTAGTACAACCTCATCAGATTGCATTTTTTGATTTTCAACACAAGTATTCGTTCAGATATCACTCCTCCGACAACAACCTTTCGTTTAGCATGATTATATTGGAGTTAGGGTTAGGGTTAGGGTTAGGGTTTTGTATATATATTTGTATTTGAATTACATGCAATAAAGATTTAATAATAATAATAAAGATCTAATAATAATAATAAAGATAATTAATGTTTTGCGCCGTACTGATGTCTGTCTGCTGTCCAGCCACTACCTGGACCGGATCCCCCTGGTGCTCGTGTTTGGAATCGCGACCGCTGTCACCGCCATTCACCAGATTCTTCCGCACGCCGTCTCGTCTCTGCTCTCCATCGAGAAATTCCAGTCGCAGTCCTCCTCGGACTACCTCACGCACGTGCTCGACCAGGTAAGCCTGCCACCTGGTGCCAGAATAGTGAGTTAATCTCACGCCAGCGCAGAGAGCTGTGCGCCGGGGAGAGATTTTGGCAGTGCGTGTGCATGTGTGTAAAGGGGGGCTTATGTCGGGCTTGCGAGCCGACTCGACTGGAAGCAACTGGATTTCATGCAACTGGAAGCGATCAGCAGCGACTAGTTGCATCCAGTTTCCCACTGTTCTATTCCGAGCAACTAGTGGCGGCCAGTTGCAGGCAGTCACGTCACAGTCGACCGACCTAAGCACTGCAGTCACAGGGAATTGCAGCCAGTTGCTTCCAGTCGAGTCGGCTCGCAAACCCGACATAAGCCATCCTTAAGCGTTGTGAAAACAGTATAGGATTGATGCAGCACTTACTTGAAACACGCCTGTACGTACACTCATGTGTTATGCGAGCTTTGCTGTCGAATTTCGCCGTGTTATCGTGTTTTATCTCTTGTCCCGCAGGTGTTGCTTACGAACGAGTTTCCCTTCAAGCTTGGCTCCAGGGTGTTTTACTTGCTGCTGGACATCTTTCTGTACCACGACTTCTCAGTGAAAACCTTTATCCAGGGCTTGAAGGTAATGATTGATTCATTCTACATCTGGTGTCGGATATGACTTTATATTTTTCACATACACTTCGTTTGTAGAATCAGCCAGTGTACTACCACAGTTAGGTGATCTTGTCATATATTTCAGCTCCCACTAGTGTGTGTTCAACTTAATTTATCCGTTGAGGTACCTCTGATTTTGTGATTTTCTGTTTTTCTGATTGATTGAGTATTGAATGGTACCTCTGTGATTAAATCGCAAAGTAAGTGGTAATTTTCCGATTGGCCAATGCAACACTTCACAACGCTCCCAGCATTCACATTAGAGAAAAGACCCCCCCCCCCCGCACGTAGTCTCGCGACGCGACTGCTCTATGACCGCAGTTCTGCATGATGGAGCACTTCCGCGTCACCGCCGTCAGCCATCTATGCTGCGGCGCGGGGCAGGTGGCGCCGCGGGTCGCCGGCCTCGGCCACGCGGAGCTCGAAAGACTGCGACAGCTGCCGTCCTGCATGAAGTACGTCGAGAGCCAGCCGGTCGATCGTAGAAAACCGTTGCTGCTAGACGACACCCACTTCAAGGTGAAGATTTAACGCGCTAGAGGACGAGAGGATGTAGACTCGATCGTCTGCGCTGCAAATGAAATTTGATTTACTTATAAATGTCGATCGACCAAAGAAAGCTGCCGTTGCTAGACAACGCACACTTCAAGGTGCAGATTTAATGTGCTAGAGGACGAGAGAATGTAGACTCGTCTGCGCGGCAAATGAAATCCGATTTGATTGCAAATGTTGCACTCCTGCCCCGGTCGAATTTGTGCAAAGATATTCAGTGACAGTTAAAGTGTGTAGATTGGACTAAAAGGATAATGAATAATGGGACTTTTCGTGTACTCATTGTATGTGCTTCAATTATGAGAGCTTATGCTCGTGTACGAAAATCACTTCTCACCAGTTAGGATGTTTCGTGATCTCAGGCCTTATTCTTGTAGGAGGTGGTCACACAGCTCTTGGTTGACATTGACAGCTATCATCAGCATGTATTTCCTCTTCTTCACTGCCTGCATAGTATCAGTAAAGACCTGCCAAGACATCCACTCGGAAAGCAGGTATTTAGGCTATGGTGGTTGTATGTGGTCAACATTTACGCTAAATGTTAAAAAATACATTTCCGAGTGATATCGAATCGATTGTGCTCTATTTGCTTTTTCTTCTTAATTGTGTTTGGAGGGGTACAAAAAGTATTATTTAAAAATGTTAAAGTTTAAGTTTAAAAAAGTTAAAGTTAAAAGTTTAAGTAAAAAGTTTAAGTAAAAAGTTAAGTTTAAGTAGTAAAAGTTTAAGTTTCTGGTTGTGATCGTGTACATTACCCCGATATGTGCTACCATTAATTACCATTAATTACATCATTAATTAATTTTCTACCGACAGCTGCGTGAAATCTATGGCCAGCTTCTTACAGGGGACATAAGCTCTACTGAGGCTTACAAGAATTCATTTTCTTTCTTGCGGTAAGCACTTTTCCATGCTGTGTTTTCGACTGTTATTACTAACGAACAGTTCCGGTGACCGAAATTCTACATACGTCAATGACGCGTTGAGTCTTGTTTAAACCTTAGACATGATGCTGTTATCCGTGCACGACCACGTGCGGTGCTCGTCTACATAATCAGTTAATCACCATACATACAGACATAAGTCCATATATATAAGACTATAATTCTATTTGCGTGAATGACGCGTTGAATCTTCGTACTGTTTACGCCGTAGTTGTGATGCTAGTGTCCGTGCACGCGACCTCGTGCGGTGTTTGTTTACGTGATTCCTCGTCTTCAGGGTGATGTCACGTGAGAGTCTGGTAGAGCTGCTGCAGAAGTGTGCGTCCCAGCTCGAGGGCTTCTCTATTTTCGACGGCGTTGTGAAGACACTGCGTGACTTTACAGCAAAGTTCAATGACATAGAGAGTGAGCGATGTTGTTATACGGGAACGTTTTACCCGCTGCTGCATTGAGCGATGTGGGCTTCGGCAAAGCCCTTACCCACCACTTCACGTTAATATGGACTTAATCACATTAATATATTGATTTCATATTAATATTCAGTCTTCATTCTGATTCTTTAATTCATTCATTTCTTCATTTTATATGAGGTACAGTCAGCCAGCAATTGTATGAACAAGATAAATTTGCTGTTCCAATAGGACAGTTTCACAGGAGAAAATTGCAAATTCTCACACTTCACCTTTGTCTGCCCTTAGACTTCACTGCCTTGAAACAAAAGGTCAACCGATCGCCGAAGAAAGGGGGATCATCGAACGAGAGGAGACAATCAGATGGCCTGATTCCGCAGGAAAAAGAAGTGACAGTGTTTGAGAGCCTGCGATCAGATGCTCTGCAGTACCTAGATGATTTATTCAGGTGAGAAAATTATATAAAATAGCTTAAATTACCAAGCACTACATCACTTTGCATTTTGTGATAGTGGGACCGCTTATACATAAATAATACGAATAGGAATAGGAGTAAATAATAAAACCTGCGAATACGAGTAATTAAATGTATATGTCTGATATTCACCTTAGATCTAAATCCTATTTAATTTTCAATTTTATTGGCATAACGAGTACTACACCACGCTATCTACCCCTACTCCACACATCTGTGTTTTTTTCAGTGAGCATCTCGTCTGTCATAAAAATCTGCCGCTGCACGAGATCTTCTATTTCGACGCTCTATCTGCCGTCAAGCGCCATCTAGTGGGAACACCAAGAGCTGCTATACAGACTGCGCTCAGTACGCCCCATTATTACCTACAGGTAAGGCAGGAAATCAATGGAAGCAGTGTTCACGGACTTACTTTAACATATGCAAGGAGAATTCCTGAAGCAGTTCTATGAAACTAATGTGTTATACTCAATTTTAGCAGTTGTAGCATGATTTGTGGTAGATGGTACAGTTTCATCTAGCAAAGACTTAGTAACAAGTGTTAGCAATGAACAAAATAGCTTCGTTCACTTGCATTCGTTCTTCGCATCCCTCCTCTTTTTTGTCTCACTTCCTCACCTTTCCTCAATCTCTCCCTGACCCTTGCCTATATGCTTCACTTGCCCCCTCTCCTCCCTTGGATTTTTCCCCTTACCCTGTATTAATTCCTCGTACCTGCGCTCCTACCTTCTTATTTCATCCCCGAATCTTTCCATTTCTTGCAATCATTTACTTTCAAAAACCTATGGTGATGGATTTCCATGACACTTTATTGCTCTACACTTCAGTGCTCCTGCTGTGAGGCAGAAAAGGAAGCCATACTTGGCAGCATGCCAGATATCTGCGTCGCCTACAAGCTACACCTGGAGTGCGGAAAACTCATCAACCTGTATGACTGGCTGCAGGCGTTTGTCACGATCGTGGATCCGGCCTCCGTTGACGACGACGACGACGACTCGACCGGCAACGACCCGAATGAACTCATGCAGTATCCTTGAATGCGTATTAAATACGCAAAATTAACCGTAGCTGTGAGATAGTAATAATATTACTACCTTATAGATTCGGTTAATTTTGTACAACTATATATTATACGTAACATTCTCACGATTAATTGTCATACTTTTTTTTACAAACTATATGAAGAACACCGTTATAGCTGGGTAAATGTAGACGAGATCTTAGCTTGGCCTGGACTTATTTTCTTGTTGAATTTCCTGATCGAGTGTTCAGCGCACGATTCATCAGGGCCGTCTCGGAACTCCAGTTCCTCGGCTTTGTCAAACCGACCAAGCGCAAGACGGACCACGTTGCTAGACTCACGTGGGGTGGTTGTTAGGCTTGCGTCGCAGATGCGATTGTGTGTGCATGTGTGTGTGGGGGGGGGCTAATAATTTAATGCGAAAACGTTCCCCATAGTTCGTTGTTCACAACCGCGATGACCGAATGGAGAATAATCTGATGTTTTTTCTTCTTTATTTTTGTACGACTGCAACCTTTGTAGATTTAACAGAAACTACGTATAAACCATTGCTATAGTTATGCATATACTATCCTGGTATAGGGTCTAGTTAATCCTATAACTAACTATGCAGCTATGTCACGCAATGGCATATTTCATGTGGGAAGACCCTAGTGCTTTGTCAACCATATGAAGACCAAGTAGAATTTTTGTACGAATATAGATCATGTATATAATATAGAATATTTATGGCCACAGCCTGATCACTTTTTCAGAAATTACCATGATGTTATTAAAAAAACATTTTCTTAAAAATGTACACATCATTTGTTTAGCATTTATATTAATTGTTAGTGTATAATTTTAATAGCAGGAATGTGTCTGCGATTATTATGTAAAGAAATATTTGACATCTTTCACGTTAGACCATCTGGCTTATATTATCTACTATATAATAGTAGAAAGAGCCGAAGTGTCGTTTTCCGTATCTCCTCCGAAACCGTGCCACGTGTGCTCGCATAAATCGAACTGGGGCCCCTTCTGGGCGTCGCGAATACATTCCGCTACGTTAGAACGCGATTTTTCCATCGTAAAGTGACTTTTGGAGGCAATTTTCTAAAAAGTTATGTGCCCGAAGAAACTTCGGCATTCATAGGAAACCCGCACCAAATTTTAAGATCGCAAAATTCGCATGCGCAGTCCAAGCAGAGTACATGAATCGAATCACCTTGTGATTGACGTGCTCTCATCGGAAACCCGCACCAAATTTTAAGATTGCCAAATCCGCATGCGCAGTCTAATCAGAGCATGTGAATCACCTGCTACCGCAACGTCCAAGATCAACCCCCCCAACCCAATTTTCTCAACGAATTTGACGTTTCACAAAATGGACCGCTGCGACTGTCAAATCCGCCGATTTCCGCCGATCCGCGGAAAAATCTCATCGCGGAGTCAGTATGTATGCGTGTGTGTGCGTGTGCATGCGCGTGTGCGTGTGCGTGGGGGCACATGATCGCCAAATCCGCATGCGCACACACCAAATCCATTGCGGCTGCGGTGTATAAACAACCAAGCACTGTGGCGCACAGCTAAGGGCGAAAATTGAAGGCAAACCCCAACGAGCGAGGAACACGTGCATGTATGTGTGTGTGTGTTGTGGTGTGTGTGTGGTGTGTGTGTGTGTGTGTTGTGTGTGTTGTGTGCGCGCCGCGCGCGCTGCGCGCGCGCGTGCGTGCGTGCGTGCGCTGCGTGCGTGCGGGCGTCGTGCGGCGTTGTGTGTACCTGTGCGTGTATGTGTGTATGTGTGTGCGCGCGTGTGTGTGTAAATGTGGTATGTGTGTTCGTGGGTGCACGTGTGATTGTGCGTGCGCATGCCCGTATGTGTGTGAATACCGTGTGTCGCTGTGCCTGTCGCGCGTTGTGTGCAAACATTTGACAACGGGAGGTGTAACCGTGCCCGCACTTACCCGGCTCCCAATGCTCTGACATTTTTAGACGCCGTTTCGATTGTCTAAGAGCACACACACACCAAACTATATATACCATAACCTTTTGAAATTGTGTTAAACTATTAATGTGTTTTCTCACGGGTTTTAAAGATAATATAGCTATACTAAATGTAGAATCAAGGTATAATAATAAGCATTTAATTAGGTGGAGCCTTCACCTAGCATAGCAAGCCACACTAAACGCACGCACGAACGCACGCACGCCACACCGCCGCGTACACACGCACACACCAAAGACAATGCGGCTGCGGTGTATAAACAGCCAATCACTGCCGCGCACAGCTGTGAGGCGAAAACCCCAAGCGACAAACCCCAACGAGAGACGGCTGCAGTTGTGTGTATGTGTGTATGCGTGTACGTGTGCGTACGTGTGCGTGTGCGTGTGTGTATGTATGTATGTATGCGCGTGTGTGCGTGTGCATGTGCGTGTGCGTGTATTTGTGTGCGCGCCCGTGTGTGTAAATTGTATGTGTGTGCGTGGGTGCGCGTCTGCGATTGTGCGTGCGTGCGTGCGTGCGTGTGTGATGTGTGGGTGTGCGCGCAGTGTGTGCAAATATTGACAACGGGAGGTGTAACCTGCCCGCCGCCGTCCACTGACTTACAAGAAAATATATCTTCAAAACTACTCTCAATGCATTTTGCTTTTTTTAACGAATTTGATTTATTATTATGCTTCTAACCAAAATGATATTTCAAAAATATCGAAATTAATGAAATTGGACTATGAAATCACCCCATTTCCTTTTTTTGAAAAATTGCATATCATTTAAGGTAAAATTTTCAGATTTTTATATATAATTTAGATACAATTTTTTTTTAAACAAATATTGTATATGACTCGAGTCTAAATATCAGTATTTTTCGTTTACTGTAAATACATCCTCAATAAAAGTGAGAGATGAATATGGTTAAACCGCCATCCTCAAGTCAGACCCCACTCGAACCCGTCTGGAGACGGGTAATAGCTAGTTAGTTTATAATGCTGCTACTTCGCCGTTTCTCATTATTTCTGCCGCAGAGCGGCGTTGTCTACACTAATGTTTAGCGGGAAATGCTATCCCCCGGGCGTGGAGGGACAGTACCGCAATGGCAGCACTAGTGTTTAGATTAGGTTAAGATTCAGGTTAGTTACCGTAGTTCAGGGTAACATATCGGCCATGCCTAGTACGAAGTCAGACTGAGAACTTTCTGTGCCGAAAATCTTGCTTTGAGGTAATGTATACGTCAACTGTATCACGTGACTGTCCCTCCACGCCCGGGGGATAGCAACACCCAATGTTAGGGCATCCGGTTTTAAAAGTAAACAAACATGGCGTCCGAAGAACAAGAGATGGATGAGACTTTTGCAGAAAATATAGGCATTTCAGATGAAGATGAATTAGGAGTCGATATTGACGACAGCCAAAGTTTTAACGATCCACTGAAGCAACGATCCGTAACATACGCAATGACCAAAGTGCAAAACTGGTGCAAGATCGTCGGGTTAAACCCCAATCTGGAAGACTACGACAAACCTGGTCTCTGCAAACTCCTATGCCACTTCTTCTCGGAGTCGAAGAGTCCCAGCAAACCGGAAAAGCACGAGGCGTACTCGTACAACACGCTGCGATACATCTACGGCGGCCTTCGCCGCTACTTCGCCTGCTCCCGCTACATGAACATCACCTCCGATCCAGGCTTCATCGAACTCTCGAAAGTGATGCAGGACTTTGCGCGGGTCGCCAAGGCGACGCCGTACCCGAAAGAAGCGTCGGCGACAACGCCGATGACCAAGTGCGACCTTCAGAAGCTCTACCAGTCCGGAATTCTCAACACGGTCGAGCCGAAAGGTCTCATCAACAAGGTCTGGTTCGACATCAGCCTGCACTTCTTCGTGAAGAAGAACCCGAAGCTGGCACAGCGCAACATGTCGCCGTCGTCGTTCGCGCTCGCGAGCGAGAGCGGCCGCCGCTACCTCTACATCTGCGACATGCACCTCATCTCGGAGATCGAGAGCGGCGACGCGGCGTCCGACTCGCGCTACCGCATGTACGAGCGCGCGGGTGACCGCCTCTGCCCCGTGCACTCGTTCCTCAAGTACATGAGCAAGCGCAATCCGAACTGCGAGGCATTCTACCAGTGGCCTGAGCACCACGCGAAGCTCTGCTCGTTTGAGGACTCAGAGATCTGGTACAGCCACCGCGCGTACGGCCAGAACAACCTCGCGAACAAACTACCGACGATCTCGCAGGAGGCGAAACTCTCGAAGCTGTACTACAACTCGGCGATCAGGGCCACGCGGAAGATGCTTCTCAAGAAGTTTCCGGGGAAGAACGTGACGGACGCTCTGAGCGGCATCCTCGAAAACGGCAAAGACGAGACCGGGGTGATCAAGGTGGAGCCGTCTGGTGTACGTTCTCGTTAACATTGCACTTATCGTTGTGACAGATGTTAATATAAGTTACAAAGCAAGCATTATCCTTACATGGTAAAGAATTTGCAGTATTGAGCGTAGACCCTACATCATGCAAAGAGCAAACGAGTGTAGGAAGGGGTTATAAATTTATATAGTGCAATAATTTATAGTTTTTTGTGTAGATCTTGCAAAGATATGTCCATTATTGCACCATAATTTTCAGATTACTTTATACCGAACTATTTACATGCTTGCACTTATCGCAAACCGGTTCGTGTTTTTTTTTTCACTCAAAAAAATTTGATGACAAGATGCCGGTTTCTGTTTCAGATGTCGAGTTCCGAGCCTGCGGGCAGTTCTTTCCCGACATTAATAGAGGTGGCCAGCACGAGCTACGGCACCAACAGCTGCAGTTCCTCCCTGGACCAGGGCAGCCCGCACGATCCGCGAAACTACTGGAACGAGTCGCCGGCCATCCTCGCAGGTGCTGCCACCTGCAGTAGTTCGGAGGGCAGCGGCATCGTGACGTCGCCGGCGTACGAGATGACGGCACCTCTACGCAGGCTGCAGGTACGAGCGTCTGCCGTATAACTTACATCTTACTGTTGAAGCGTGAAGAACTGTCACGGCGCCTCTATACGCAGGTACGAGCGTTTGCACTCGAACGTATCGCTGTTGAAGCGTGAGGAACCTCGCCAGATGAACGCTAGGTTCGCACAAAGCACACAAGCAACTTTTGGCAAATGAAATCGATTATCGATCTCGATCATCGATTTCGAACACTAGGTTTACAAAAAGTGTGAGAAATACAAATGGCCACGCTATCACTACACACGAATCTTTCGAATGTCTCGACTCCTAAAATCAACATCAATCCAACAGAGGGGGAATATTCCTCCTCTAGCCAACTCACTACTACGTAATGTCTCGTACCTTACGTACTTTAATCTCTGTGAACTACTTTAAAACGAGGATTTCTCCTGTTTTTACCAACCGTTTTCATATTTTCTCAACCGTTCCGATACTTACCGGTACTCCGTGCATAACACCAAATGTATATAGTAAGGTTAACAAGTAATAGAACACTCGCACAACATCTCTTCAATGCGCTTCAGTCTCTGTGAAGTACTTAGAGCTTTTCTATTTAGAGAAGGATTTAGAGACTAATGTCGTTGCGAACACGCGTTTATTTTTATTCAGGCGCAGGCGCAGCTGCAGACGTTACTGAACGACCAGAAGGCCAACCTGAGCATGGTTGAACTCCGACCCTCGAGTCGGCCCGCTTCCAGACCGCTACCCTCCATAGAAGTCAGCAGTCGAGCCGACAGCGCGAACTGGGTGCCTGCAGGTGCGTTAGTTTTGCGTCTCGTTAATTAACGTCGATTTCGCCGTGTCTGTGTCTCGTCTACTGCATTCACGTGCGAGCAAAAAATATTGTGGAATGTGGAATTTTGTATGAATGTAAATCAAGTGGAATGGGACGAATATTTCTTGAGATCATAACAATATACTATAATGAATGTAAGTAATTATGTAATGAATGAAAGTAAGAGTGTAAGTAATTTTCTGAATAACAATAACATTCTGTTGTGGCCACTGATAATTTGTACAAAGATATCGAAATAATCGTATGTAACAGTGTCGACGGACATGCACTTTAACCCGTTACCGTAGCAACGCGATACCGCCTACTCGCTGTCGGCGTTGACAAACGGGCACTTTAACCTGTTACCGTGGCAACACGATGCCCCCTACTCGCTCGCTCCGTCATCGTTCGTAACGCGGCGCCCCCTGCCTGTTCTTCGCAGCGTCGATGGACGAGCATCTGAAGCTGCTTCGCGTGGAGCTGGCGACGAGTCTCCCCGCCGGCTGGACGTTCTCGCCGCATCCCGGCAACGGTGCGCTGAAGATGCTACACATCTCCGCCGATGAGCACCCCGTCATACGCAAGGTAAGGGACGATGGGAGGATGGGAACTGGAGGTGGGACGACAGGGGGACGGGAACCGAGGCGTGTGACGACAAGGGGACGGGAAACTGGAGGGGGGGGCAACGGCGCGCTGAAGATGCTACACATCTCCGCCGACGAACACCCCGTCATACGCAAGGTGAGAGACGCCGGGTGGGGGGACGGGAAACTAGAGGGTGGGACGACAGGGGGATGGGAACTGGGGGGTGGGGGAACGTTGCGCTGAAGCTGCTACACATCTCCGCCGACGAGCATCCCGTCATACGCAAGGTGAGGGACGACAGGGGGCGACGGGAAACAGGGGCGTGGGATGACAGGGGGATGGGAACTGAGGCGTGGGACGACAGGGGGATGGGAACTGGGGCGTGGGGCAACAGCGTGCTGAAGCTGCTACACATCTCCGCTGACAAACACCCCGTCATACGCAAGGTGAGGGATGACAGGGGGCGACGGGAAACGGGGGCGTGGGACGACAGGGGGATGGGAACTGGAGGTGGGACGACAGGTGGACAGGTCAACGTGTGGCCGCACAAACCTCGACGATTCGCACATCGATGCGTTCTCGATTTTCCCCGTTCCCGATTGCATCGCCGGTTTACATCTTCTCTGCCGCAGATCCCCCTCCCCTCCTCCGTCTTCCCCGACCACAGAATTAATTAAATCATTATTAAATTAAATTAAGATAACAATTAATCGCAGACGACCTCTCGCTCTGCCCACAGGTTCTCACCGTCTTCCCCGACCACAGCTTCTCGCTGCACGTGCACAAGTCACCGCTGCCGCACGACCACCTGCTGCTGAGCCTCTTCCCGCCGCCACTAGAGCGCGCCACGCAGGTGACGAGCCTCCTCAACGCCGTCGAGCGACTGAGCGTCTGCCGCGGCGCGGGCAGCGCCGACACGGTGCAGCTGTATGAGGGCGCCACCAGCGAGCGCAAGTCGCGGCTGCCGGACGCGGTCGTCGAGTACGCGGACGGGGTCGGGTCGGACGGCGCGCCGTACCACTGCGCCGCGCGCTCGCCGGGATGCCAGTACCTCACCAACACGCCGACGTGCCTGCAGTGCAGCCTCGTGAAGGAGAAGGTCGAGGAGGCGCTGCAGAGGATGATCTCCGACGACAGGATGAGTCTCTAGGGAACGCCGTTCTTCTTCCTCGACGACGAGTTGGGAAGATTAGAAGACGACGTCGATTTTGGGGGGGGGGATCGTGCGAGAACAATGTGATCGCGTAGAGTAGCGGAAGAGTGCGAATTTTGTAGAGAATCGTGGAAGATTGTGATGAATTCGTGTGGAATCATGGCAGAAAGTGATGAATTTATATCGAATCTTGGCAGAATGTGAATTCATAGAGGAATCTTCGCAGAATTTGTAGAGAATCTTGGGAAAACATTGCGAATTCATGGAGAATCCTTAAAGATTATGGTGAATCTGTAGAATATCTGGTTGGCACAGGGTAAATTCATAGAGAATCTTGTCGTGACACGAGGAATCCGTAGAGAATCTTGTCACAACATGGGGAATCCAAATATAAACTTTTCAGATAAAAATGTGCATTGCATTCATAGAGAATCTTGGCAAAACTCAGTGAATCCGTGGAGATATTGGCAGCACATGGCAATTCCATGGAGAATTTTTGCACAGCTTAGGTCCACAGGAATCTTAAGACATCGTGCAGATCTTTTTGGCAAGTCCATCTGTAAGGAAACTTAGTAAGATATGTGCAGTCTTTAGGGAATCTTAAGCGATGCAGCAGGAATTCACAATCTTAACCGAGATGAGGTTATTAGACTGGGCAACTTCGCTATGTCAGAAGATACTCATTGGAGAAATCACGGAAAGAAGCATGTAAGGCATTTTCCATGTGTTTCCACATTATAAAATTGTACAAATGTAAGTTATTATGTACTGTAGAAGTAGGGTGTCACTTTATAAAAAAGAAAATGAAGCAGGGTACGTGTATATTTAAGTAGTTCATGTGAAACCATCTGGTAAGTAGTTTTAAGTATCTGCATCATAATCATAGCCATCGCGTTTATTGTCATTTAATAAGTTTTTATCTCCATGTTCACACTTTGATTAAGCAGGGATTTTTTATGCATCGGTGGATTTTATCATGATTTAGTCATGCACTTTGTGTAAACCACGCATAACACGTAGATTGTAAATTTGTATTATAGCACTGCTTCCTTTTTATAATACTGAGAACAGATTTATTATGAACAGTTCTGTATATATCTAAACAAAGGTAGAGTCAGGCATTCAATCAGTTGCATCGTAAAGTTGATTAGGTAGTAATGAGTAGGTAATAGCACTTGGGTCGCATTATGTATTTTGTGGTGTGTAAATGTTGGAATCACACAAACTTGCATTGTTGTAGTAAGAATGAAAATGTGCATTCCTGTTATGACATGGACATTGTAATAAATAATAGGTAACACCAAGTAGGAATGGTTAATTTTGTTTACTGTTTGGATTGTCAACCGATTTGGGTGTTGCATGTCATTGCATATATTTGTGTGTGTGTGTGTGCGTGTGCGTGTGTGTATTAGTAAGATCAGAAGTTCATTTCTATGAATACTAGCTGTGGTGCGCTCTCCTTTGGCTTTGATATTTCATTCCCCACTATGCTCGCCCATGGTTTTACCCTCATGCTCTTGCATTAGAAATTCCATACCCAGTGAATACACTTGTTTTCTACTCGATCAACTTTGTTTCTCTCCGTCTTTGAAGCACGAAGCAGCGTTTATCTCATAACCTAACCCGTTGACATATTGTCTGTTCTGTACCGTGTACGTCTGCTACCAGAGGGCACTATATAACAACCACCGGCACCCGTTTTTGTCGGCGTTTTCAGCATACGATTGTTGGTGCATGGTTGTTATATCATGGTGCCAGAGTGTAATTAATACCTAGCTGTATATAATAACCGTTATTATATACAGCCCAGTGTTGTAAATAGCCGTAAAAGGCCGTAGCCTGTGTGCTTATCGTAGATACAATATCAATAATGTAACCCAGCCATCCCAACCTAGCTGTTGCCAGGGTTACATTATTTATTGTATCATTTGTATCTATGCTTGTCGTAGATGGCGATTCCAATTTCCAGGCAGGTGTTGGTGGTTGTGTCGCGGTCCTACTAAACAACGAAATGTGCTACTAAACAGCGAAATGTGCAAGAATGTGCAGGAATGTGCACGGAATGTGCAAGAATGTGCAGGAATGTCTAAGAATGTGGCGCAATGTGCATCAATAACCATAGAAATCGCAGCCCAATAACCTTATTGGGCTGCGATTTCTATGTCAATAACTGCCGCAATGTATCAAAATGTGTAAAAAATGTTATACTAAACAGCGGAATGTGCTACTAAACAGCGAAATGTGCTACTAAACAGCGGAATGTGCGCGGAATGGGGCAAGAATGTGGCGCAATGTTCATCAATAACTGCCGCAATGTATCAAAATGTGTACAAAATGTTATACTAAACAGCGTAATAAATGTGCGCGGAATGTGTAACTGATGAATGGGTAAGAATGTGGCGCAATGTGCCATAGGGACCTGAGGCAAAAAATAATAATTGTTATATATATATAAAGAGAAGATATATATATTTTTTTTTTTCCGCCTCAGGTCCCTGTGCAATGTGCATCAATAACTGCTGCAATGTATCCAAATGTGTAAAAATGTTATACTAAACAGCGGAATGTGCTACTAAACAGCGAAATGTGCTACTACTGCTAGCCATGTATCCAAATGTGTAAAAAATGTATTACTAAACAGCGGAATGTGCTACTAAACAGCGAAATGTGCTACTAAACAGCGGAATGTGCGTGGAATGGGTAAGAATGTGGCGCAATGTGCATCAATAACTGCTGCAATGTATCAAAATGTGTAAAAATGTTACGCCTGCATGTAGGTTGGTGACCACTGATATTAAATATAACATATTAAACCTAGTAAATATTAGTTTTAAAAATCCAAGGAACAACTACATCTAAGGACTATGTCGATATAAAACCTATAATATCAGGAGTCTATCAATATATTGATAGACTCCTGATAATATCAAGAGTGCATAATAGAGTGTATAAGAGAGTGCATACAAGAGTGCATAATCTCTATTATGCACTCTTGATAATATATAGATCAGTGAACGTGAACTCTCCTTGACCTGCTGTTGTGTATTTCGGTGACGTCATCAGCATCTCGTGCTAGTCTCGACTCTCGCGCGAACTCACGTGCAGCAGTAACTTGCACTTGTAACAAGCACAGACACCCAACTGAGTGAGAGACGGCCTTTGCAGGTAAGTTGAAAGTTAGTGGCCGGTCCTGGAATCGCACAGACTGAAACAAATATTAAGTGCGTGCACGAAAATGGAACTAACTTTGTTTTTGTGTTGTTGGGAACTTAATCGTGTGTATATTTTTAAATGCGGTTACTTCTCTGCTTGAAATTTGTTGGTAGTTTATTTTAGCTTCATGCACTGATGCAGCAGCCAGCACCACGGCGCTGCCACCCACTGGCACTGTACCCTGCCCTGGGCTGGGCCAATATTAAATTGTGCACTAGACATTTTTACTATCTGGTGCTATATATTCTAGGACGTTCTACTTTCTAGAATAGTGTCCGATCATTAAAATTTCTAGGCACAATTTATTGACCTCATGACCATTGACCCTCCCTCCCACTGAGCACGCGTCATGACTCATGGTACACTACGCAAGGCTTAGCTCTAGACTATTAACTATCTCTATAGCCGCGTACGGTTGCGCAGGTTGGCAGCAACCGTACGCGCGGGCTATAGTTACTAGAGCTACACAGGGCTTAGCTCCAGAAACGGTATTGCTAGGGTTAGAATACCGACTTTATATTGACGCTAGTCACACACAGCCTGGTGGGTTACACAGGGCTATATGCTCTACACTACAGTAAAGTTTGAAGGAACCCAATGTGAAATGTTTGCAGCATGTCAGCCCACACAGCATGGTTCAAGGATAGAGAACATGGGGTCCCATTGAGACCTATGTCATTTTCGTAAATGTGCATTCTGCCATTGCCATCTGCCATCTGCAAGTGTACGTGGCTATTGAATGATTGCAAATTGAAGCTAGGTTCTCAATATACTCATTTGTACAACTAATTTGTAACAAACCACAATAAAACCCACATAGCCACGATGCCGCCAACGTGTTTATGATCGCAATATGGTTGTGTAAAGTTACGAATTTTGGCAATGCAGCACTAGTGCTTGAAAGCAAACCTCACTTAGCAAAGTGTTTAACATTTTGAAGTGGTTATCGAACAAGATGAGAGCGATCAACACTTGAACTTATGTAAAACCAAAAACAAGTGCGAAGCAACGAAAAAACTGTTCTCGTAAGAAAAACGAGTTGTTTTTCGCGCAAAGAAAGAAGTCTGAGGATTTACAGTCGCCTGCGATCGCGTAAGAGCTTCGTACGAAGCAGCTTACAAGTGCGGCCAGCAACGACAAAGTCTGGCCTATGGTAGAAAAGCGGAGGAGTTGCGCACGCGTCTCGGACCACCTGCACCGCTTGGCAAAATGGGAATCAAGTCGAGCATGGTGGCCGGAAGCTTTTTCGGGAGCCACCCCAGCAACTGCCTGTATCGACACGCCGAGCGAGACTACAACCACACTGGGACGGACCTGCACTACGCGGCGTGCCAGGGAAACGTCACGTGCTGCACAGGATCCTGTTCCTGGAAGGTCAGTGTCGAAGTAAAGGATGCCAAAAATCGCGAGCCGAAAGTGTTTGTGCAAAAGAGCTGATATTTGTTGAGGGGGATGTCGCGTGGGTTTTATCACACTGTATCGTTAAAAGCGATTTCCTAAGAATTTCACATTGTAAGAATTGTGTAAATGTATAGTAAAGAAATGTAATTTAGGTCAAAGAAATTGAGGTACTTGCAGGTTCGCGTTGGACACTTGGGCTGAGTCATCATATGCTGTAGTTATTGCTACTTGTTTTGAAATGACGGAAAACCTGATACAGAAATCTCTGTTATATGGTGTTTTTGATATGCAACCAACCTGATATTTCCCGTTAACGTGCGTTCATATCTCAGTAAAAAACCTGCTGGGTGACCGTCACCTTTAAACTTGTATTATATTAAACTTTATCTTGCAAATATAGATGCATGCACATTCATGTGTTGAAATCTCGCCACAATACTGTTTAATACTCTAGCTGACATTTTTAGTCTTTTGTCAACGCATGGCATTTATAACTTCTCTATAGCATTACTTTGCTGAATAAATTTGAGCATCTACTACATTCAGGGATTCGTGATATAAACACGAAGGATTATTAATGAGAAGAGTCGCCTATATTGGGCATCTTACAAGAGGCCATCTAGCATGCATGGAAGATCTCATTAGGTAAGATATGGAATAAAGACAATAGTCACGGAGAGCCTAACCATTTGCACAAATTACAATCCAAATTGTTTGAAAGAAAGAAATGAGAAAAAAACTGAGATTCTAGCACCATTAATGAGGAATCAAAACACTCACGTAAACAGCATCTCAATACACCTTTTAGTAATTGCTTGTGTTGCAAAACTTGATCTAGCAACAGTAGTGATCTTTGCCAGAATAATAACAATAATTTGATTCCTAATAATTTGCGTCGCCCCTCCCTCATTGTATGCATGTCGTGATATGAATGGTATCGTGACTCGCACAACACTAAAATGTCGTTTATGTGAACTACACCTATGTCCCGCTTTCAGGATTTGGAGCAGATGTAGATAGTGTGTGTTGCCCATGGTGCTTCGCCGCTACATGTAAGCCATAGTCTCTACCCAGACTGTTCAGCTCTGCTGATAAAGGTAACGCTGGTGTAACCACAGGGTTACAGAACTTGGTGTCGTATTGTTTTTTGCCCTTGTTTGATCTGTCGCACTGAACAATGAAATCAACATCATGCATGTGATACGAATCTGATATTTATTAGACCACACTGGCTCTGTTTCACGCTGACATAATTCACAGGATACAAACCTGCTATGACTTAGACACGCTGGCTTGTTATCACTCGAGTCGGCAACCGTTCGATGGCCTCTTGTTTTTTCAACGTGGACACTTTGTCGTCGTTCCTACCAGCACGGGAAGCAACTTGACATGGCGGATAAGTGGGGATGTGACGCCGATGTATCTAGCGGCCAGCAACGCTCAGACGCACTAGCATACAGCTTCTCCTGTTCCGCCGGCCGCGAAACCGACCTACAGAAATAGCGGTGAGTGAATTCGCGGAGACGTTTTGTCGCTACTCTTACCCCGATTTAGCGATTTTCAATTTGTGATGGTAAGTCATTAGGCTATTTTCAGAGACTAGCAGCTGTTCATATATCACTGAATCACATTCATAGGCCTGCAGGCACAATCAGCAATAATATAGTGCGGCATGCTGCTCGTGAAGGGCGCATTTCTTCGGCGTTCACCCCGCTCTGTCTGTACGAATGCTCACGCAGCTCGAAAGTGCAGCTCTCGCGCCGCGACACACGCCCCCACGCCTCACACCTTTGTAATTCACGCACATCTTTCGAACGCGCGAACAGTGAACTTCACGGTCACGATTGAAACAATTCGAATCGGATTTGAATCAAATTGATCGCCGCTTTAGATGCCATGCCGACAGTCATTTTATTTTTTCTATAATCTCGAATCGGCCGACGATA